GAACATTTCCAATGAGATGTGTGTAATTTATTGGCATAAACCATTAGATCTTCCTTGAATGCCCTGGAGTTTCTGAATCACCAGCTGAAAACTATTATTACAGAGCACATAATTACTTGGAAAGTGCCTCTGTCTTCTCTTTTTTTTGTGTGTTAAATTCAGCTACATAAATAGCATTTTTATAGCATGTAGGCCAAAAAGGTACCGAGATGTTCTGTATTTCTGTTTTGTTTTACCTTAGGGAAACTTGGTCAGCAGTGACGCTCATACTTGCCATGTGAACCTCGGGCACTGCCTGTGAACTTCCCTCAGAACGCTTCCGCAAGAGGCTCAAATCAACTGAACAGTCTCAAGTACTCGGGCTGCTTTTGGCAATGTGACAATTTTAACTGAAAATACAGTTTCATCGTAGCAATGTTTGGTTATCCTTCACTGTGAGGATGGAAGGGTTTTGCTGGCACCTTATTGAACATGAATCTGGCAGTTGCAGGAGCAGCAAAGAGTCCAGATTGTTCCCAGAGCAAGGAACTAGGACAGAGGATTTCTTGGCCCAGTGCTGCTGCTGCCTGCTTTCAGCAGAGTACATTTCTAATCTCTCCTCTGCTATTTTACATGTATGCTAATTGGGCTCCAGTCCAAAAGGAGGATCAGGCTCATTAGAGTTTTCAATAGCTTAAAAAGAGTTATTAAATCATCTTACCCCTTCAGGACTTCCTTACTTCCTTCTTTCATGAACAGCAAAATGGTCTTTCCTTTTGCAACAGACCCTGAATGTTCTGGGCATCAGCTTAGATTCACACCTTGCTTTAGGTCTTTCTTCCTAAGCTTGGAGCAGGGCTTTGTGGTGGGTCCGTAACGCTGCTTTTCCTGGCTATCCACAGAAATAAAGCTCCTGTCTGTGGATATGATCCATGGCATGCCAGGTGGGCAGGAGGGACTGATGCACACTCTGTATGAGGTCAGGAAATAAGGTAAATCATTATCAGTGGCTTAATTAAAATTTCTGAGAAGTGGCGAAGGCAGGAATTGTTCCTCTGGGTACGTGTAGTGTGGCCGTCTAAACCAGTGACCCAGCACAGAGCTCGGAGTTTCAATTGTGCACAGATGGATTCGGCAATTTGCCCAAACTGCTAAAAAAGCTTTTTGGTACAATTTACTTGGCAGTGGCAAAAGAAGCGCATCTTTCTGAGACGGTGATAAGACAAAGATGTATTCTGACCTTTGGAATCTGGGAGCTGATTTCCTCTTCTTGTGTCTCTACCCAGGACAGTACATCCCAGGCAAAGAGGTGAGGCTGTGGATTTCTGCCTCCTCTGGTGTTTTAGAAATAAACACTCACGTCAAAATTGTTCACTTATATGCTGAGACACTGTTTTTAACCTGAGGTCTACAAGTCTCCCTACAAGGGAGGAGTTTGGTAGGAAACTTTTGCAAGGGCCACGTAAAAAGTGACTGAAGAAGGGGAAGTTTGTGCCTGCGCTCTACAATAGTTTGAAGAAGGGAAATTGCTGTAAGAAATGCACATCTGATGGCAATTTTTTAGGAGCCTGCATATCAAGAAGATTGAAAGGCACTTTGCTAATATTACAAACCTCTGCATTGTGGTAGTGTTTGAAATTCTGCTAATAGTCGCCTTTTTTTAGCCATACAGTAATTGCACCTCTCAATGGGAATGCTACTCAGGAATAATGATCCTATCAAGACAAGGGAATATAGATTGTAGTAAAGGTTAAGATGGTTTCTGTGAGAGGCTTAACATTGATCCTTCTAGCTATCTGATTTTCCAAGAGGAAAAAAAGATACCGAACTTCAAGTTAAGCAGGCGATTCAGCATGAAAATTCTTGTGGTTAGTTTTAGAAGATGGAACTTGCAGTGGATTTGCTAAACTGTTCTTTTTTTCTCTTTCTTTTTTTGATGAATGCTTTTTAAAAGATATGGATTTTTCTTTCCCACACATTTTAAATGCTCTTCTCAGTTCTTTTATTTTTTTTTTCCAATGCAAGCCAAAATTTTTAGAGAATTCAGAAGTAAAAATCCGTTATGTTGAAAAGGCCATGTTGTGAAATAGATCATAAACACCCAGTTAGAGCAGTGCCTGCTAATTAAGGGAGAGAGCTCCTGGGAAACAGCAAGCCTATAACAGGGCTCAGCCCTCTTTGATCCTCTGTTGAGTTTGTAAAAACGTTGCCCGCCTAAACTTGTCTGCAGCTTGTTACACATTTTATCCATCTGCTGCAAGAACAAAAATAGGCGATTTATAATTCAGCTGAACTCCAGTTGTTCGGCATATCACTGACTGTGGAGTCTTTGCTGAGAGGGAGGGGATGGGAGGAAAAGCCAAGCAAAGGCTAAGCAGAGTTGCATACCCTGGGAACTGCGTTGCTTTTGCCTGTGGGGATTATGTAGGCACTGGATTGTGAGTTGCGCAGGTGTGTTGCAGGTGTTACTGCAGAGAGGTTCAGATTTTGGGGTGAAATACACTTCAGTGTCTATCCATTGTCTATAAAATGAAATCAAACGATTTGTTGAGGTTCTCCAACTTTAATCCAGATGAATTTCCAGGTCTTGGGTAGAACTGTGGATGTGTGTATATTTATTTGTGTGTATGCATCATGTTTCCCGCCAGCCTACTTACAGAAAAATGACTGGGGCAACTGCTTGCTGTATGAAAGAGGCATGTTCAAGTCTTATCTGCCTCTCTGGGTGACTGGGTGACCACATCCAAGCCCCGCAGGTAATGGTAAATCGCTGCTTTAATTCCGTGAATAAAGTAAAATCTCGCCTTGAAAAAATCCCTCCATCTTTATGGCTGTGATGCCAACCTCCCTAATGTGGAGTCTCTTGTGCAGGACTGCAGTGTTGCCTGAGCCGTGGTGCAGTCGGCTGCAGCCTCTGGGAGAAGTGGGATGGCTCTGTTGGGCCAGTTGGGTGTTAGCTCTGAAATCTAATAGCAAGAGGAGCTAATTATTCCCTATGCAAATGTCACAAGTCTGTGTTCGGTTGATTTTTAGAACGTATCAGCACTTCATTTTAGCACCCATATGTTTTATCTGCATTGGTTAGCTATCACCCCTGGATGCCTGCATCCCTCCAAGGGCTGCTGCTGTCATATATCTTGCTGCATGATATAGAGGCAGAGAATGACGAAGTTCTCCATTCATCAGAAATCAGAGATTCATTTGCTGTTGCCTGTAAATAAATGACAGGTAAAAATGCCCCAGTATCCAGTACTTACCCACCCAAATTTATCTCCTTCCGTGCCTGGGAGTGTCTCACTGTTTCAAAGTACCATCTCCTCCCAGTGACTTATCTGGTGCTGTGACTTACCAGTAGCAAATCTGCATTATGCTGAAAACGTGTCGTTTGGAGTGTGTAATCAGTTTAGGACTATGAGAAAATAAGTTGCACAAAGCAGAGAGGCTTCGCCAAGGGCAGCATTGGAAAGAGGAGAGAAGATGAAGGGAGCAGCTCACCTGGGAGGTTACGCCATGACATTGTCTGTTCTTTGCCAAGAATTTGATGCGTGGCAGGGAGAGTTACCTGGCCCCCAGTGGCTGGCAGGTGGGTACTGCAGTAGTGTGTGCCTCCAGTCCAAAGAGTCTGCAGCAGCCGTCAGCTTTTAAAGTGGCGTTAGTAACCTACATTCGTTTACTGCCCTTGTTAGGACGGTAATTCTTAGTACAGACTGAAGCTGATGATAGACTTGTTGGAAGTGTCTGCAGTGTAAGTCAGCATCACTGAACAAAATTATTTGGCACAGGTGTTTCAAAAGGTGAAGACCTCTTAAGTCACGGATCTCACCTCTAAACAAGCTGCTCACCAGGCAAGGTGGGATCTCCTTAGTCCATGCTCCAAGTAAAAATCAGAAACACTGGGATTCCCACTACGTTTCTCTGCAGACCATTCCACAGGGTAATACACATTGCTGTTGAGCTTATTTTCTTGCTGCTTATATTGTATTTACCCTTATGTATTTTGATTGCTCCTAGACCTCTAAATTTGACAAGACTCTGGTATTAATTTTTTAAGTTTCTTTTTGCTTCTCTTTAGTTTTCTTTTAGCTGAAGATTTGCAAGTATTTAATTACTTTTTTCTAAACCCATCATCCTATTTGTAGGTTTCGCCTTCTCAGAGTTCCGAAAGAATATCTGTCTTGTGATGATGTGGGAAGATGTATATCAGGCAAAAAGACACCTTAAACTTTCTGCAAGTTACATTTTTATTTAGGTTTTAGATGAGTTTTGAGAAAACATATCATATCGACATGATACCAGTGCTTTTGTTAACTTGCTTCTGTTCCCAGTAATTTCATATCTATGTTATTCCACTTCCTGTGTTTTGGTTTCTTTTTCACTTTTGTGAAGGGCAAAGCAACTCTGGGTTGTGCTACTCTGTGGGCAGAGAGGGCTTCTTCAGAACCTTTCTGGAGCAAAGCATTTGAGATGTCTGTCATGGGCTGGTTCTGCACGCTTTGGGCCTGTCACTTTAATCAATCAAAACATAATTGTCCCCAAATTCTCCATCCTTCAGTTTTCCCACCTGGACATGCTAATGCTAAGGATGTGGTGGAAGTCAGGGCCAGGAGATTTTTTGAGATTTTTGACTGCAGCTTGTTTTGTACTTTTTTTTTTTTTTGCCAGGTTTGTTGACAGCTGTAACCAGAATGTGTGCGCTTCAGAAAAGGTACTTCTGATGTTCTATGTTTTTATATTTATATAGTGTTTAGCAGTTGAATGAAAGCTTTCCAGATCTCTGCAGGAGTATGTGCAATTTGTCCATCATTTCTGGATTTCTAGTGGTATTCTCAATGGGTAGAAGTGTTTTTTCCGTTTCTCCTCTCAGTTCTAGACCTTTTATGTAGATAGTGTGTCGACAGGTGTTGATGGACAAGCAATTTACAGTAATCTCTTATGGTGCTTGTTCTGTAGCTCCCTGAATTACAAGTGACATGCTGGCAAAGCTGAACAACTGATCACCAGATACTGGCATAGTGTTAAACATGGCTTCTGAGGCTGCTCAGAATTTCCTTCAGCCACTGTCTTCTTGGATGTCTCAGATATATGAAGCTATCCAACAAGCAGGAGACTCTATATCTTCTTCACTGCTGAATTTCAGTGGAGTGGGTCGTAAGCCAGAAGAAGAGAGGAACCGGGACTTGGAGAATAATGGAGGAGTTTATGAGAGTTATTCTGAGGAATCAGATGATGAACGACACCTGGACCTCTGGGATGAGGAATACTTGTATATTAGAGAAGATGGTCACGTCGGGGGTCCTGATCTTTCTTCACGAGACCTCTCTCATGGCTCTGACATGGATCTGCAGAGGCAAAAACACGTTAAAAATACCAGCATCTTACCAGAGCAGTGTGTTGAAGGCACCAGGTCTTTTACAGGCAATGGATCCTACTGGATGAATGAAGATTTCCAGCCACTTGATCGGCTTCCTCCCATCGCTGAGGAAGAAGGTGAGCCCTCTGTGAGGATGAGAGGTCATGAGCACAACCTCAGCTTGGGTAGCTCCTTAAAAAGTAATAATGGCAAGGCAAGTTTTGCAGGTAAGCAGCTAGCACGCACCCTGACAGTGTTATTCAGACCTCTCTTTTCTGGTAGTTGTTTGATTTAGTTGCCAATCTGCTTGCTATGTTGTGTTGTCTTTGTTTCCCACAGCTAAAATAAAACTCCCCAAATCCCAAAGAAAAATCTAACCTTTCCTCTTCTGTTTCCAATTCTTCTCTCATTCGTGAGACTAATCTCATTGAAAGAAGTGGAAATCTCCAGGGTTAAATGCGATATGTTAAAAGGCAGTTGGCCCAGTTGCTGTAGCAAGGAGTATTTTGCTCCCCCCGTGTTTTGTTTCTGATAGCAGGACCCTTCAAAGGGAGTGTTTAGCCTTAAGCCTTTGCTTTGAGAACCATCTGCCTTTGCGTCATTGCTATTAAAGATATATATAATCTCAAACCTTGTTTCTTTGTGCCAGGAATCTCAAGATGTTACTGTGCCATGTGCTGTGAAATGCTGTACTAAAAAGCCAGCCATATCTCATGATTTTATGGATGAAAGGCTCCCAAATCGCTTTCCTCCCCTCCCACCACCCCCACAGGCTTTTCAAATAACACTGAAGAGGACAGCAGGCAGGAGATTATGAGAAGGAGAACTGAATTTGATATTTTGAGTTTTAAATATGCCTAACTGTGACTTCTGATCATTAAGTGACATGAACAGCTTTTCAGACCATTGTGTTCAGGACCGAATTTCAGCCATGTGACTTGTACTCACTAAATATCACCGTCAATGTGGCTAGAAGTTCCTTGGGTCACAGAGGGCTGATGGAGAAGTATGTCCCAACCACACTGGGAAAGCTACAGTCCTGCTGACACCGTCCTTGGGTCTTGCTGGATTAAAGCCCCTCTTTACGAACGTGCTAGGAAGGGGGATAAAGGAGGAAGGGTGGGATGGAGTGGGTCTGCAATATGGAGCTGATGAAGAGACTCACTGAATGCCTTCAGAATTTGGCTTCAAGTATCTAAATTCATTTTTTTGAAGCAGGCAGTAGATGCTCTTGAAAATGTTTGTTTTATAATGACCAAGAGCTTTTCATCTCTCGTGGCTTCTAGGGAAGTCTTACATATTTAGCCTTTTCCATGCAGACTGCGGAAGATCAGCCTATTTGTTTTCGTGTTTAATAGGAATATCAGACTGGGAGGGTATAAACCTTGATGGTGTTCTTTAATGAATGTTAAAATTAGCTCTTTCTTTATTCCTATTCCTCACACTGTTATGGCCAGGAAGTAAATAATTAAAAAGAGCTTACATCTAGCTGTTCTGTCTCCAAAACTGGGACTGCCTGTTTCATATTCCAGATGAATGGTTGCCAGTTCTCAGGCTGAACACCCCAGAGTTGTATCTCTTGGAGCCCAGCCTCTGATCCCTGACCTTCTGGTGCCACTATACACTGTCTGTGTGATACCCTGCTCACAGGGTTTGTTCGTAGGCACCAAGTCAATGCTGCAGAGCTGGATTTACTGTGTGTGCTTGGATTATGTGTCCAGCATGTGCACAGACACCATGGAGCAGGGCATGTAGTTTCCTTCCAAGGAGTACTGGGGCCATGGATTCTCCTGGACAAGTGCTGTCCAGGGCGCAGCCTTGTCTCCTGGAGACCCTGTACCCCCAGAAGGGCTGTTAGAGTGATTCGAAGCAAATCCTGAGGCTCCTCAGAGTAGGCTGGGGAGCAGGCACGTGCCGAACACATTATTCCCATGGTGGCCTCCAGATCACAATGAATAGGAGAAAAGGTTGTGAGCTCTCAGGACAGTGGGAGCCAGGAATGGGCTGCTGTCACTGTCAGAGCAGTTTCTCACCTGCAGTTTGTCTGTAGAGACATCTGAGAAAGAGGGTCCTTAGGAGAGTGTGATGGACCAGATGAATTCTCCTGGAGAGACACATAGAATGACAATCACATACCAGTGTTACCCGTTGCTGCAGCTAAAGGAGAGGGTCACTCTGACCCTCTGTCCCAGCTGGGAGCAGGTACTGATCAAGTTGCTGTTGGACTTTCTCCGTATTTTTTGGCTTTCCTTCTCAGTAAGCTGTCTAGAGCCATTGTGGACTGGAAGGCTGGTCTTACAGAGCTCCTCAGCACCTACATAGCTGCTGCCTAGAGCTCGAAGCACTGTAGAGGGCATTGTATAGCTTTTTACACCAGAGGGAATGTCACTTGAAGTGCTCTAAAATAGTCTTTTATCTTTTTATCTCTGCAATGCACTGCACAGAGGGCCATCCAATGGTCTCAGGACTTGGGGACTGAAGTTGCTTGTTTGAGAGTTGGAGGGCTGGGAGTGGATGTCTTTTTTCTCAGAATTAAGTTATATAATAGGGGAGAAAGTGCTGAACTGTGATTTGAAAATGTCTTCCACAAGATCTTTGATGTGGAAGAACTTGTTTTGATCCTGTAAGTGACCCTTCACTTCCAGAACACACACATGCTCTTTGTATTTCATTTTTCAACTCTTTATTTCCTCTTTTTCCTTTAGATTCATTCTCTAACATCAAGAGTATGAACTCTTGTGATGGTAACCCAGACATGCAGAGAGGCTGTAATACCCTGGCAACTTAAAATTTCAGTCCTGGATTAAAATGATCAAAAGAAGATGTTTGAGGTATCCTTATTTCTGTTAGCTTTGTTACCTAACCCTAAGTGACAATGTAAGCGAGCATATGGACTTGCTGACATTCAGCAAAGGCATTCAGTAGCATCAGTATTAGCTTTGAACATTTTTCCTTCCATTTGGCATTTTTTCCCCATTTCTGCAAAATACGTTTCCTGTTTATCCTTATAGTCTTTTCAGAACACTGCATCTTGACTTTATTTCACTTAATGTACCATATTTCTCTCCACAATAGAATATTTTAAAGCTAAATTGGCACAAAACAGTAGCAATGCTGAATGCTTTTTGTTGCCATGGAAATATTTCTGGGCACTTACTGAAGACCTGGTTGCCAATAGTAATGTAACAGAGAAAATAGATATGCTTCATTTAGCAGCCACTGGTGATTAAAGAGCCACAGAAACCTGTTACAAGGTCATTCCAATATATAGTTTATTGGGTTTAGGGGGGAAAAAAAAACCTAGCAATGGTAGATGAGAATTATTTTGTTTTAAAAAAGATGCAAAGTAAAATCCAATAGTTGTTCCCCTCTCTTAAACTTAGAGCACGCTTCTGAGATGAAATAAAATAAAACTACAGTTTAAAAACCGTTATTACCCCTTCTCCTTTTTATCAAATATGTGTTTCATCACATTTTCGCCTCCTAGGAAATGTTTCCTAGCTCCCAGAGTAGCTTTTCTGAGGCCCCAAAGCAGCACACGTATAACTGAAAACCATTTTTAGGCTTAGGGATCTAATAAAGTGTTTGAGCAATGAAATTCTTGGGTTCTTGAGTCAAATGTCTGTTAGATGCTGTGAGGCATGCTAATCAGCAGGGTGCAGGTTTGGCTGCTGCTGAGTCCTGGTCTATACTTAAATGACGCTAGTAATGTGCCAAGGTTTCAAACAAATGCAGGAAAAAGTTCTTCACTTTGGATGCTTTGAATTCACATTTTAAAAATGACAGACCCTTCCAGGCGTGCAAATCGCTGCCACCATTTGCACATCGTGGAGTTCTAAATTTTGCAAATACAGATGAACTTGCTCTTGCAGCTTCCTCGAGACCCTCCTGCATCATCTGACCTCAGTAAGTCTGAGAGAGAAACTGTCTTCCGTTGCAGAGCGGGGAGGGAGCAGCCTTTGCATCCCCCCGCGGAGAAGATACTGCTGCTCAGCTGACTGGGGGTGGCTGGCGAGAGTGTGGCTGCCAAATCCATCATTGCACATTTGGCTTAAGAGTTGGAAAAAAGCAGTAGGGCAGTCAGATACTTCTAAAAGTAGTGCACTGAAAGCAGAGGGGTAGCGCTGGCCAGTCTGCTTCCCAGCCTGAATCTATAGAGAGAGAGGAAAAAAGTAGTAATGAAAAAGGTGAAGAGCAGTGATAGTTGTACCATGAATGCGATGGCTTTAGCCCACTTCTTCATCAGGGCTCATGTCCTTTGTAAACAAAAAGTCAAAGTGACCATGAAGTTAGCAGTTTCTGCAGACACTGCTCTGAAGAGGCCTGGGGACAGACACAGCAGCAAAGCTGAGTCTTCTGAATCAGAGCTGAACTATTTTTGCACCACGAGTTCTGTGATTGAAGAGTCTCCCGAGCTGTCTGACACTGTGTTCGGAACGGTAGTGTAATATACAGGTGAGCACTACACTTAAACTGCATGAAGTCCTTGGAGATATTTTTTCATCAATTAGACAATCTCAATGCTAGCTAAAGATTGCATTTTGGTTGCACTAAAATAAATTTTTTGACCTTGGAGTGCTAGGAGGTTCAAGGTCCTAATAGGAATCTTGTCTAGATGGCTAGGTAGTTATCCTCAATACATGTGTAAGGGGAGGCATGCCTCTGAGGCTCTGGGAGTTTTTAAAACTAGAAAGCACTATTGCGTTTACTTATCTTGGCCTCCAGCTTGACAGGGGTCATTGATTTTTGCCAGTAATTGCTGTAGTAGAGGAAATTATTCTTTCTGCTGTATATGAGCACTCCTGACCGCAGTAAATGACCCTTCGTACAGCCAGGAATTCCAAGGCAAGAAGTGAGTTTTCATTAGGTCCTGTAAACCCACATAGTAAAATACACCCGTAACAAAAAGATGTTGCTGGTCTGATAAATAAAAATTCTGCTTGAACCTGACACTATAATAGATAGATGGCCAGTTTCCGTGTAAAATCCTGAGTGTTGAAGATTTTTATCACCTGTCTGGCTAAGGAGCCAGCCAGTGCTGTAGCTAGGATGTAGCCCTATAAAAATCAGTGCCTGTATTCAAAGCAGGACATTTAAAAAGGCTGCACTGAATCAACAGCACCACTGACCTGAGTGAAGGAAAGCAAAGAGAGGCAGTGGACAAAAGCACTTCACAGAAATGTACTGCTGGCTGCTGGAGTGGGAGAAAGCGCTAATGTGACTAGGG